TTTTATTTTATTTTATTTTATTTTATTTTATTTTATTTTATTTTATTCCCTTATTGAATTGACTAGGACAATGATGAATAGGAGAGGTGACAGCCAACAGCTTTGTGTTAGTCCCAGTCTTAAGGGAAGAGTCTTTCACTATTAAATGTGATGGCAACTGAATGTTTTTCAAAGATGCCCTCTATCATAGTAAGGAAGTTTCTGCTTATTCTTACTTTATTGAGAGCTTATATCATGAATGAATACTTAATTATGTCAATTACTTTTACTGCATCTGTTGAGATGATTGTATGGCTTTTTTAGTATTTTATGTTGAATGATACGTTGAATAATATCAATTCATTTTCAAACTTCAAACCAAACTTGCATTTCTAGAATAAACTGAATTTGGTCATGATATATTATCATTTTTACATATTTCTACACTCAATTTGCTAATGTTTAGTGGAGGGTTATACTGTCAATGTAAATGTAGGGTTTTGATATGCAGTTTTCTTATAATGACTTTGGCTAGTTTGGGTATACAGTAATGCCAGCCTAATTGAATGAGTGATAAAGTTTCCTCCTTTCCATTTTCCTCCCTCCCTCCTTCTCTTCCTTCCTTTTTTTTTTTTTCTTTTTTTCTTTTTTTGAGACTAGGTCTCACTCTGTCACATACGCTGAAGTGCAGTGGCATAATCATGGCTCACCACAGCCTCCCCTCCCAGACTCAAGTCATCCTCCCATTTCAGCCTCCCAAGTAGCTGGGACCACAGGCACATACCATCATGCCCACTAATTGTTTTTATTTCTAATAGACACAGGAGTCTTTCTATGTTGCCCAGCCTGGTCTCAAACACTTGGGCTAAAGCAATCCTCCCATCTTGACCTCTCAAGGTGCTGGGATTACAAGCATGAGCCTCTATGCCTGGCCTCTTCCTTTTTAATTTTCCGTAAGAGCTTGCATAGAATTAGCATTATTTCTTCCTTAAATGTTAAGTAGAATTTATTAGTGAACCACAGAATTTTTTTGCTGGAAGGTTTTAACCACAAATTCAATTTCTTTAATAGGTATAGGACAATTAAGGTTATCTATTTCTCTTTGAGTGAGCATTGGCAGTGTGTGTCCTTTAAGGAGCTTGCCTATTTATCTAAAGGTTTTCGATTTATGACATAAAGTTGTCTATAAATTGCATTGATTTTTGTAAAGAACTAGTTTTTGGTTTCACTCATTTTTTTCTAGTGTTTTTCTGATTTTAATTTAATTAACTTATCCTCTTTATTTTTAATCTTTATTGTCTCCTTCTGCTTGTTTTGAATTAAATTACTCTTTTTTTTCTTAAGGCAAAACTTATATCATTGATATAAGGAATTTGTTCCTTTCTAAAATATCCCTTACTGCTATGAGTTTTCCTTTAAGTGTAGCTATAGCTGCACCCCACATAATGTGCTTGCATTGTCATTCAATTCAGAATACTTTTTAATTTTTCTTTCTATTTCAACCATGAAATATTTTAGAAGTGCCTTGTTCAACTTTCAAATTGTGAAGATATTCCAGATTATTTTCCATTTTTTATTTCATTATCTTCAAAGAATATACTTGTATGATTTCCATTCTTTTACATTTGTTAAAATTTGTGTATTTTGATGACCATTTCATGTGTACTTGAGGTGATATATTCTGATATGAGTGGTTGAATATTCTATCTATATCTTAGGTCATATTGGTTGATAGCATTTTTCAAGTTTTCTCTATCCTTATTGATTTCTATCTACTTGCTCTATCAATTACTGAGAGAGGAATGTTGAAGTCTCAAACTACACTTGTGCACTAGCTATGCCCTTCTTTGAGAGTTTAAGGGGGAAGAGTAGAAATACAGGAAACATTTCAGGGCACAGAGTCTTTAGTGTAGTGCTATCCAATAGAAGCTTTTGCAACAGTGGAATGTTCTATATTTGTGATGTCTGCATATGACTCTTTAGCACTTGAAATGTGACTAGTGCGGTTGAGAAACTGAATTCTTAGTTTATTTTATTTAACAGCCGCAGGTGACTCGTGACTACCACATTGGACTACACAGCTTTAGTACATGGTCGGAATTTACCATCTTATATAGGGTCTTATTTCCTACCAACAAAGACTGAGATGAAGATTCTGGTTTATGTGACTTGTTGAGGGAGTACTTTCAGGAAAAATTGGGTGAGGAAAGCTGGATATACAGGGGAAAGGAAACAAAACAAGAAGGAAGTCTCAGCTGAAAATTACTTTTAGTCTGATCCCTTGGGAAAGGAAATTCTACCAGAGAGGTAGACTGACCTTGAGGCTGAGTCAGCCTTTTATACTTTCATGCAGGGTGGAGGTTAGGTTGGCGCTTTCCTGGTAGGCAGGTCTTGCCAAGAGCAATTATTATTATCATTATTTTTTAAGACAGGGTCTAGCTCTGTAGCTTAGGCTAGTGTGCCGTGACATGATCTTGCTTCAATGCAGCCTCGACCTCCTGGGCTCAAGCGATTCTGCCCCCTCAGCCTCCCAAGTAGCTGAGACCACAGATGCAGGCCACCATGTGCGGCTAATTTGTTTTAGTTTTTGTATTGTTTATGGAGACAGTGTTTCCCCATGTTGCCCAGGCTGGTCTTGAACTACTGAACTCAGGTGATCTGCCCACCTTGGCCTCCCAAAGTGCTGGGATTACAGGCGTGAGATACTGAGCCAAGCCTGCCAAGGGCAATTCTTTAAAGGAAGGGGCTATTAGAATATGGGCTATTATCAGCCAATACTAGAGCAAATGAGTGATAGGCGCATTGTCTGATATAAAAGAATCTAGGCCAGCCGCCGGGGCTCACGCCCGTAATCCCAGCACTTTGGGAGGCCGAGGCCCAAGGGATCAGACTGAAAGCAATTTTCAGCTGAGACTTCAGTCTTGTTTTGTTTCCTTTCAAACTGCAGAGGAAAATGGGCCAGAATTATAGCTTTAAAATCCAGCCTCAGCTGTATACAAATGATTTTAATAAAGCAACATAAAAACCCTGGCAGCCTATCTGCCCCTGCCACCAAAAAAAAAAAAAAAAAAAAAAAAAAAAAAAAATTTCTATCACATCACTATGTACCAAAAGACTAAAGCAAACGCTTAGTCCTATAAATCTTTACCTCAGCCTTTAAGGTTAATAATGAAAGGCTTTGGTAATGAAATAACTTAGTAGTGATTTGGAATGTTGATGTTAAGTTTGCTAATCTAATCAGTGAATACCAATATGCTCTTCAGAATCAGGCTGATGCCTTCTTCTACGTTAAAAATTTACATTCTTGGCTGGGTGCAGTGGCTCACACCTGTAATCCCAGCACTTTGGGAGGCCAAGGTGGGTGGATCACAAGGTCAGGAGTTTGAGATCAGCCTGGTTAACACGCTGAAACCCCGTTACTACTAAAAATACAAAAACTGGCCTGGCGTGGTGGCAGGTGCCTGTAATTCCAACTACTCCAGAGGTTGAGGCAACAGAATTGCTTGAACCCAGGAGGTGGAGGTTGCAGTGAGCCGAGACTGTGACACTGCACTCCAGTGTGGGTGACAGAGCAAGACTCTGTCTCAAAAAAAATAAATAAAATTTACATTCTTATTTCTTCTTTGCAAAAATTATTCATTATAATCAGTAATTCAGGTATTTGACTTGCCTTTTAATAATTTTTTAAATTCTCATTTTATATGTAAGAATATGTAAAATAAAACCCATACAAGTCTGTGTTCTCTTTATTGACAATTTATTCTGATTCAAATCAGTTTTATCAAAAGTAGTGCATGAAAACATGTTCCAGTGTATCTGAGGCTTGGAATGGCAACTCATTTTACCCAATACCTTTTGTGAAATATTCATTTCTTTAAAAATATAGATACTCAGTGTAGGTAATTATGTTCTCAGAATAACTAAAATATACCATTATAAGAATTTCCAAATTAAATCAGTATATATAATTTTAGGGAAAATAAAATATTTTTAATTGTAGATTTAAGGAGAAATAGCCATTCTGACTGATGTGAGATAGTATTTCACTGTGGTTTTGATCTGCATTTTTGTAATGATTAGTGATATAAAGTATTTTTTATGTTTGATGGCCAGCATTGAAAAGTGTCTGTTCATTTTATAAGTACCACCTCCCTGAAGTTTACTAAAGAAGACAGGAGGCCCAAGTCCCTTTCATCCAATGTTCAGTTAATTAGAATTACTCCAAAATTAGGCCATCTGGTTAGAAAACATTTGCATTTTCCATTTTATTTTCTAGAATTACTTCCATGACTCTATCCATTGGGAAAGAAAAGAAAGTGTGGACAAAATCAAAGTAACATTCAACCCTTTTTGGTTTTTTTTGTTTTTGTTTTTGTTTTTCTGTCTGATAATCCAGTTGAAGTTCTCTGGGGTTTCTACTTCTATGTATAAGAGCTTGATTAGTGTTTACTAAAGTGGCCAGTCTTCACCAAATGCACATACCTGTGGAATTTGTCACCTCTCAAGTTCTTCAATGGTGGTCCCTAACTTTCCAGTCTGATCAAAATAGTTTCAAAATCTCTCAATTGGTTCAACCTGGAAAGTCACTGAGGTTTTGACTCTGGTCCCACTGGGAGGCAGGATTTGTCCAAGTAGAGCATATTCCTGGCACTTCCTAGGCTCAACGATGACATCCATGGTTACCCTGATGCAACACGTCGTGTGTGGTGGAGAACATATCTTCTCTTTCTCTAGACCTGCCAGAAATATGTCAAGGCTAATTTTGTTCTCATTAGTATAACACATCTGCTTAATTTATACCACAAACGTTTTCACTCTACTCACAATGGGATATTTGCATAGTTTTGCACCCTTTGACTGTTTACCATAATGCTCAATAGTATTACTCAGAAAGTTGAAAAGACTTTTGCCATGAAAATGTGTAACAACTGTACGAATATGCTCACAAAGTTCTGATTTCAAACATCTTGCAAACAATACAATCTAAACCAGGTCTATATGAAGGAAATGATGCATCAAAATAAATGTTATGCCTGACTTAAATCTTCTGCGATGTTTGATGATAATGAAAATGGCATAAAAACTGAATATTGCTGTAATACTTAGTATACTTTCTCAATATTTACTTTTACCCACATGTATTCTAGGATAAAAGATTGGAACATTTCCTTCAAAACTTCAATGTCTTCAATCATTCATTTCCTACTGATTCATAAGTATGTATCATGTTTGAGCCTCTCCTATATTAAAAAATAAATTGTCTACTGCACATTCCTACCCAGCTATCCTCCCACTTCTCATTCTCTTCAACTAAAATTCTTGAAAAAGTTGTCCATTTTAACCCTCATTCACTTTTTAAAATTTTTTTATTTTATTTTAAGTTCAGGGGTACATGTACAGATTTCTCCTATAAATAAACTGTGTGTCACTGGGGTTTAGTGTACAGGTCATTTTGCCACCCAAGTAATAAGCATAGTACTCTACAGGTGATTTTTCAATCTTTATTCTCCTCCCTCTCTCAACCCTCAAGTAGGCCCCTGTGTCTGTCGTTCCCTTCTTTGTGTCCATGTGTACTCAATGTTTAGCTCCTACTTCTAAATGAGAAGATGTGGTATTTGGTTTTCTGTTGCTGTGTTAGTTCACTTAGGATAATGACCTCCAGCTCCATCCACGTTACTGCAAAGGACATGATCTTGTTCTTTTTTTATGGTTGTGTAGTATTCCATGGTGTATATATACCACATTTTCTTTATCCAGTCTATCATTGATGGGCATTTAGGATGGTTCTATGTGTTTGCTATTGTGGATAGTGCTGCAATGAACATACATGTGCATGTGTCTTTATGGTAGAACAATTTATATTCCTTTGGGTATATACCCAGCAATGGGATTGCCAAATCAAATAATAACTCTGCTTTGGGTTCTTTGAGATAGCACCAGACTACTTTCTACAATGCCTGGACTAATTTACACTCCCACCAGCAGTGTACATGTGTTCCCTTTTCTTTGCAACCTTGCCAGCGTGTTACTTTTTTTTTTTTTTTTTACTTTTCATTAATAGCCATTTTGACTGATGTGAGATAGTATTTCACTGTGGTTTTGATCTGCATTTCTCTAATGATTAGTGATGTCGAGTGTTTTTTATATATTTGATGGCCAGCATATGTCTTCTTTTGAAAAGTGTCTGTTCATACCCCTTGACCACTTTTTAATGGAGTTTTTGGTTTTTTGCTTGTTGATTTAAGTTTCTTATAAATTGTGGATATTTTGTTACGCACATAGTTTGCACATAGTTTGCAAATATTTTCTCCCATTTTGTTGGTTGTCTGTTTACTCTATTGATAGTTTTTTTTTTTCCTATGCAAAGCTCTTTATTTTAAGAAGGTCCTATTTTTAAATTTTTGTTTGCTGCAATTGCCTTTGGCATCTTTGTTTTTGGCATTTTTGTCATCCTTGTTCCCTTTTATCCCACTCCTTCTTCAACCCACTGCAATACAGCTTTCTCCCCTGCCTTGCCACTGAAACTGCTATTGTCAGGATTACTGGTGAAATTTTTCATAGATCTGGTGGGGAATTTTCACCACTTGTTGATCCACTCATTCCTCAAACACATTTTCCTGTTGATTTCCTTAATTCTAACCTCATTTCCTTTCAGATATTTTTTATAGGTCCTCTTCTGCTTACCTTTGAAAGAGAAAATATTTCCTCAAGGTATAGTCCAAGCCACCTTCTTTTTTGCAGTGCACACACTCCACCAGTGATTTATCAACTTCCATGGAAATAAAACTCAAATCATTAGGCTAGATTTCTCTGTTGAGCCCCAGCCTTGTATGCATACTTGTCTATTGGGCACAGCTACTGTGATGGCTGCTGGACATTTAAAGCTCAACATGTCCAAAACTGAACTCACCATCTTAACCTTTCTTCCAGCCAGCTTCTCCCTAGGTGTTCCCTTTCCTAGTGAACAACATCACTCTCCAATCAATTACTCAAGCTGGAAACCTGAGTTTTCCCTCACTCTTTTCTCTCCCTCACTCTCATATTTAGCCAAAAATCAAATTTTATTTAACTTACCTCCGAATCATTTTTCAGATGTGTCTCTTTCCAACACCCTGCACCACTGCCCTATTCTGAGTCATCCTATTTGCTCACCTGGGTTATCACTGCACTTGCTTACCTCCATTTTATACCCCAGGTTATTCACTACAATGCAGCCAACAGCTTTAATGCGCCACTGTGGTCCATACTGAACTGTATTACAAAGATCCATAGGATCCATATTCCAATTATTTTGACATCTCTCCCCTTTTCCAGAACACTCTTAGCTGTCTTCATTGCCTGGGCAGCTTCTGTTCATCCATTGGTTTTTAGCTTTTACATATATATACACACACATACATATATATACACACACATATATACATATATATCTTCCACCAGAAATTTTTTCCTGATTCAATTCAGGAAATTCAACCTCCTCCCTCAGATGATGCTTGGTGTGTGAAGTGAGATTGGCAGAAGGTGATACTTGACAGATAGAAGAATCATATGAGCCATCCGTGAGCTCTTAAGAGCATCAAAAAGGTATCAACATGTTAGAAACAGGGTTACAGAAGAACACAGTGGCACATTAAAGCTCTTGGACTTTAAACTATCAATTAGGATGACAGTTTAGAAATTCAATGTTTTTGCTACCTCCCTGGGAATTGAAAGAGAAGAGAAGGGAGGGCAAGGGAGGGGAGGGGAGGAAAGGGAAAAACAGGGGAGGGGAGGAGAGGGGGAGGAAGAAGAGGGGAGGAAAGGTGAGGAGAGGGGGAAGAAGATGAGGGGAGGAGAGGGGAAGGAAGAGAAAGGGAGAGGGAAGAGGAGGGGAGAAGGGAGGGAAGAGGAGGGTATGAGAGAGGAGGGAACAGGAGGGAAGGAGAGGGGAGGGAAGGGGAAGGGAGGAGGGGGAGGGGTGTGATCACACATTTTAAGCTGAGAAACATCATTAAAGAGAGAAAGCAAAAACAAAACCAACTGCTACCTTGAATATTGGCTATTGAAGACAGAAAACCTTCTGGCCTAGACCATGATAGAGTGAATGAGTATGATTTGAGATTTCCCTGCAAAAGTTGTGAGCACTTACATTATCTGGGAACATAAATTCTTTATAATCTCCTAGCAGTCACCAGTTAATAGAAATTACATTAACAGATTCTAACTTTACTAGCAATATGGGTTGGAAAATTACATGTCAATTTCCAAGTCTGTCTGGGCAGGAATTCATCTTAGACAATGTGGTCTTAATGGCGTTTATAAGAACATCTTGGAAAGATAACTTTGTTTTGGTGAATTAAACATTCTCAGCTGAGCTCCTATAAACAAAGATGTAACAGACTACAGAAATCCCAGGGAGTTTTATCAAGTAATACTATCACTCACACCCTGGCTTCTGGGCTTTGTCTTTGATACAAATTTACTCAAACTCTATTTCAAATTAATTATTTGTTAGAATTCTAAGGTAAAGGTGGCTTTGCTGTAATGAATGTATTTTTACAACTTGTTCCTGGGATTAATTGTTGATTAACAAGCTTGCTTTGATCTTTGTAAATCTTCTTTGTTTCATTATTATAGATACTTAGGAAACATTTACCAAAGAATTATTGTGCTTAAGGGAAAATTTCATGTCAGGTAGTTCTCTCTGAATGTCAGCAATGGATAATAGAATGTGTATAATCATAGCAAACAAATAGCCACTGTTAATGTATTTGCTGACTTGAATCAATTTCCCAATTACTCTTAACTCTTGTATAATTCAGATCCAAGATCAGGCCTCTCTGACTCCTGAAAAAATTAACAGTCTTGACTTAACCCCTCAATTTCATAACCTCACAATCCAAAGCCTTCGTCAAAATCTGTGAATTCCTAAGGGCCTATCCAGACAGGCATTTTAACATCAAAGCTGTATTTTTTCCTCAGAAGAATTATCATGTCAGTTACTAAGACTGTATTTTGTTAATGAGATCTTTTGGATGACTCTATTAATCTTAAACCCCTACTGTCCAATAAAGACTTAAGATCTCAGTGAAACATTTTAATAAATAAAAGTTTATTCTTCTGAATACCCAAATCACAAAAGGATAAAGATTCATTTGCTCCATTTCTGAGTCTACTCCTCTAGCTTAAGATCAGATTAGGCACAAAATTATTATTATTTTTTTCACAGCCAGGAACCTGCACACCTAATACCTGCAATACAGACTCTTTTATTTTAGAAGTAAGGCACAAAAATGACAATGTGGGTACTGCTACTACCTAGAGGAAAGGGATCCGGGACAGAGCATGCACTATTCCAAGCTCTGGTCACAACATAAAAGCAGAGCTTCGCAGCTCTGCAGCTCAGAGAAGGCACGAGACCAGCAACACAATGTAGCAAAAAGTAGTGGACAGCCTCCCTGATGTGCCTCACACACTCCACGCTGCCCGCTCTTCTTAGAACACCCTTACCTTGGACCACCTTCACCTCCATCCATCCTTACTCAAATCATACCTCAGTGACGGCCGACAACCACTGTGAAAACTTCCCTCCCGTCCCCCTCCCCTGGCAGTACCAATCTCCCTTACTCTGCTCTCCTCTCCCCTTTTCCTTATACTGCTAAGTAATCTTCTCATTTATTATTATTATTATTTGATGGTTTTTCTGATGGCATGTGAGCTCCACAAGGTCAGGGATCTGTTATTTCATAAGCCATTC